GAAAGCTGTAGGGAAATTTGTCAAAAGTAAATGCAGTCAGGCAGAATTTGGTTGCAATGAAATTAGTGTGATGACCCAAGATATAAGGAGAAAAAATAATTTTGTTTCTATGATATTATGAAAACTGCCCATTTAGACAGGAAACAGCCTTCTAATCCATATTTACATTATGTTGAGCAGTTGGAAAATGAAGAAAGAAAAAAAAATCATTTATACTTACTTACTTGCTGTGTGTCCCAAACAAAAATATCATGGATATTGCAAATGTTTGCACATCCACTAATTATTTATTCCTCAGAAGAGCTTGCGTAGCAACCTAATAAAAACCTGATTCCACAAAATTGCTAGAAGCCAGCCAGTCAGATTACAACTGGTGATTTTAGCCAGTCTGTGCCATTTGTGTGTGCAGTATGCATTAGATGGTGAATTGAAATGGCACTACAGGGCTGCTGGCTCATTAGCTAGAAGTTTTATCAGTGAACAAAACACCTCCAAGCATCAAGTGTTTATATCTCAGTTGGATGGCTGCATGGGAAATGCCTCAGAAAATACATTTAATTTTTGTTCCTTACTGATGGCCACAGCTAAATTCATCTGGGCCAAAGAAAGTTTAAATGAAGAGAAAGTGTCTGAAATGCAAACCGATCACTACAGGGTATGTTTTCCATAATCAGCAAACAGAAAAACACATATCAGAACTAAAATTCCTGCTGTTTTATTGAGTTTTTATCAGACTGGTGTAAGACAACAGTTAATTTATATCTAATGCATATGCTTCACGGTCTTATCCATGCGCACATCCCTCATACTCAAAGCATTATGACTTTCAAGCTTCTTGGATGGAAGTAAACAGACTTTAAATATATACTAGCAAAGCAGCAAATGGGTTTGTCATGTCAAACTGCCATGTCTGACTTCTTCCTGATGTGGGACACAGATGACCCAACTACATACACAAACATACACATACACATACACAAACTCTACTGTATTACCATCTAGAAAGGCTAGAAATTGATAGCAGCTTTTGTTGTATACTTTTAAAAAGGGTCATTTCTGGCCATCTACCCTTTCTCTCTTGTACCTACTGCAAATGTTTCTCCATTCCAACTGATCACCTGGAGTGATGATATCCAGCCTGAGTATCACAATCTCAGAAACACACACACACACACACACACACACAGGAGATGAGAACTTCACTGTATTTTAACATTATAATTAATTGAACTTGTCACACCCTCAGGATTTTAGATACAAAAATGTTTCCTATAAGATGTTCCTTTTGATATTGCATCGAGAAGGTAAAAAAAAATTAAGAAGTGTGGGGGGAAAAGCTAAAATGGACCGCAGTTCAGCTGGAGTCCATCAGCATGTACACTGATTTTTAGACTGGAACTGAAGCTGTAAGAAATCTTGTGCATGGAAATCGATTCACAAATTAAGGACTGCATTCAAGAACAGGACAGAGGTCTAATGAAAAGATATTTAAAAAATAGATAATGACAAATATTAAAATATATAAATATATACATATAAGTTTAGGTCTGTATAAGTTTACAAAAGTCTCATATGCGCACCAAGGCTGCATTTTTCATCCAAAATACAGTAACATTATATATGTAGTAATATTGTCAAATATTATTACAACTTAATTGTTTTCTATTTGAATATATTTTAAAATTTAATTTATTCCTGTGATGCAAAGCTGAATTTTCAGCATCATTACTCCAGTCTTCAGTGTCACATGATCCTTCAGAAATCATTCTAATATACTGATTTGCTGCTCAAGAAACATTTCTTATTATTGTCAATGTTGAACAGTTGTGCTGCTTAATATTTTTGTGGAAAAACTATGAAAATATTTAATAAAAATAAATGGAGATATTTTTCTTCAGGATGAACAGACAGTTCAAAAGAATGGTATTCATTTGAAACAGAAATACTCTGTAACAATGTAAAAGTCTTAGGCTACCTGTCACTAATGGCGCTTTTGCACTGCGCGGTACGACTCGGCTCGGTACGGCTCAGTACGGCTCGGCACGGTTTGCGTTTCCACTGCAGTTCAGTACCGCTTTAGAGTGGGCAGGATTATTCACATGTCTATAGTTGCGCCGCCTCTACTACCACGACTCCTAAAAAAAACTTTTTCATTCCGCGTCCACTGCGTGGTACGACTCGGCTCAGTACGGCACGGCACGGTTTGCGTTTCCACTGCAGTTCAGTACCGCTCTAGAGTGGATGGGATTATTCACATGTCGTTATAGTTGCGCCGCCTCTACTACCACGACTCCTAAAAAAAACTTTTTCATTCCGCGTCGCCCCTTCAAGCTCTCGCTGGATCCGCGCCTCTGCTATCAACGAGAGGAACTAGGTACTGTACCCAGTGGAAAACCCCCCAAAAGTGAACTGTACCGAGCCGTAGGCTACCATGCAGTGGAAAAGCGCCATTATATACTGAACTGTTACAGGTGACCAGTTTCCTTTTTATCTAAATATGTTTTAGATAAGCAAATACAGATATGTGATTAATTATGATTATAATAATGTGTGTAATAATAATGTTCTTGGTTTTCCTGCAGGCTAAGACGACCGCGTTTTTTCAGATGTATTTCCAAGAAAAAAACATCGTCTTATATTCGGGTCAATACGGTACTTGCTAGGGTATGTCAGTGTTTCTCTCATTATATCTGTTGAGCATCCACTTGGGTTCAATATTAACATCAGAGTATTGTGATAAAGAGCCTTCATCTAGCATGTCCTGTGAAGCACTAGACCTGCTCTCTCTTGCTCTGCTCTGTTGTTTATAGCTGTGAATGGACAGGGCAGCTGTAGGGTGGGTAAGATCACAGCAGGTCAAAACCACTTTAAGCGCTGACATACCTGCGCTGTTTCCCCTGTGCATTCTAATACTCTAAGCCACGGCTTCTCCAGAAGACTTATTTACATGCAGACACCACTGGAAACCAACTACAACAAAAGGTGTGTGTTTGAAAGAAAGACATGAATAACCACACACCAGCAGCTATGCAAACACTTGGATGGCAATACAAAAGGAAAAGTGTTGTCTAAATTTGTATTTTGCAAAAGGTTTGAAAATTGTTTGATCGCTTAGAAATGAAAGGCAGTTATATTCAACGAGCCCAACAATTTGTGGTGTCATTCATGTCTCTAGCACAAACAACTACAGCTACATGTAAAAAGTGCTTACAGAGTTACATCATGTTCCTTTCTGGTGCTCTTGTGCATATTGTGTGAAAATTACTAGGTTTGCATGTTCATTACATAAATTAAAATATGCAAAAAATAAGGAGGCGAAAAATGCACAATATTTTCAAAACAGTGTCTTAATTGCACATTGCATATCTGCAGTGCTAAACAATTTCCAACTAGACTTCCATAAAACTGCACTATACAGGAATTGAGGGAAAAGTTGGAATAATTGTCTATTGTAATCAACAACATGCAACAGATGCTTAAAATGTGGAAAATTCCTTTAAATTTACATCAACGGAACGGAACAAGTGAAAACTGTAATGAATATTATCCAGACTCTATTCTGAGTGAAATTAGAGATTTGGCCGTGCATGGAGAGATCAGACGCATGCATGTCCCTTAATCCCAGTCCAGCTCACTTCCTGTCCCAGATGCTATCCAGAGAACCAGAGACAGAGAGCAGAAGAGCACAGGAACACCATTAACACAGCCAGAGGAGGAGAGATAGAGTGGAAGGGAAAGAGGAAGGAGAAAAAGAGCCAAGCAGAGGCAAGAAGAGAATATGCATGAAGGAGAACAATGGTACAGAGGAAAAAGAAATGAAGAGAAGAATGGAATAATAAATGAGAGAAAGGCTTGCAAATAATTCAGAAACCATACAGCACACAAGCCTGTGCATATGAAATGATCTGGTTAAATCTTGCAATTCAGACTTTTTTCTCTCAATTCTGAGTTTATATCTCATAATTAGTTTTTTTTTCTTGCAATTCTGAGTTTATATCTCACAATTCAGATTTTTCTCTCAATTCTGAGTTCATATCTGACAATTCAAACTTTTTTTCTCGCAAATCTGAATAATTCAAATCAGAACTGCACGATATAAACTGAATTACAAGATATAAACTCAGAATTCTGACATTTCTCACAACTACAAATTTACATCTTACAATTCTGAGTTAAAATCTTGCAATTCTGACTTTTTACTTCTGAATTCTAAGTTTGCATTTCGCAATTGCGACTATTTATCTCACAATTCGGACTTACTTTCTTGCAATTGTGAGTTTATACCTCACAATTCAGACTTTCCTTCTCAGAACTGCGAGTTATAAACATATCTTGCAGTTATATCTCGCTAGCAGTTTATATCTCACAATTCTGTTTATATGTCACAATTCTGCGTTTGTCTCACAATTCTGAGTTTAAAAAACAGTCTTTATTGTGAGATATAAACTCAGAATTGCTAGGGGAAAAGTTAGAATTGTGAGATTAAGTCGCAATTACCTTTTTATGATTTTATCTGGTGGCAGAAACAAGCTTCCACAGTCAACATTAATTGTGGTTTATTAACTATGGCTATTACAGAATCAGATCTAGATTTTTGGAGCAACTTGGGGTTTTTTTTATAAATGTGTAAAAGCCTAATGAAAATGTCAAAATGTTGAAAAGAGTTGCCAAAGTTTAATACCTAGGGTTAGGGAGTTGTTTAAATCACAAAATAACCAACAACATCCTAGAATATCCAAGCACAATTTTCCACTTATTTGTTGTCTCCTGATATTAATTCAACCCTCATATCTCTCTCAGTCTGGCCTCCTGTCTATCAATGAAATCATAGATTATCATCACAGATGGAGCAGCCGATTCTCTTCAGTCATACTGAGAATGATAATCCTCAAACTGTGCTAATCTATGTATGTAGTTGGAAAAAAAAATCCAAAATGTCTCCTGTTTGAGAATCAAATTCAGGATAATTTTATTCATCACTGTGCTACGTGTGTACTCACTTCTCACAGTGGCCGTCCTGGTGCAGTTATAAAGGATGGCAAGCTCTCCAAACACCTTTCCTGGTCCCATAGTGCACAGCTTCAATCCTTCTTTACTCACTTCAACTTTTCCCTCTGAAAAACACACACCACAACTGTAAACATCACAGTAAACACTTCTAAACAATATTTATAAATACTGAGATAGAGACACATTTAATATTAAGTTCGGTTTAAAACCAGATCATAACAGTCAGAATAATGGTGAATTTCAAGACACCTGGGAAGAATGTCACCGTCATTTTAATCTCAAATGTAAAAGTAAAAATATAAGGAAAATATCTTGATAAAAAAAACAAGAGTAATCATATTTAAACTGGAAATTTTGTTTTAATTATTAAAAAAGGAAAATTGCTAAATCACAAAATTACAATGCAGAAATTGTAAAAATAGGCTTCATGCTCATGCATGTATATAATAATATATTATTAACAAAAATAAAATATTGAACAAAATGACTAATATAAATTATATATATATATATATATATATTATAAATTAATAAATAAAAAGTATGTATATATTTTTTATATGAAAAGTTAAATATATTCACCCTTAGAGATGCACAAATTTTAAAGTTCATATTAAACACATATTAAGTTTCATATTAAGCATTCTCTTTAAAAACAGACAGAAGCGTTTAAGTAGCCTTTAGTGTAACTGCACATTAAAATACACCTGTCTCTCTCTCTCAGAGGTGTCAACTGTAGATGGGCTGATATGATACATTGTGAGCAGAATAACAGGAAGTCAAGCAGCTTTTCTCACTTTCCAGCAGCTGATCACACAGACAGGTGACGACACAGGTGAACGACCATGTGAGATGAGAGAAAGCAGTGCAGAGAAAGATATTGAAAAGGTGTGAAGGGAATATCAAGGTTGTAGAGAGTATAGATGCAAGAGAATGAGAGAAAAGAGAGAGAGAGTTGATGACCCTTCCCTTATGATGGACTATTTAATTTATCATTAATATTCAGCTCTGGCAGAACAGGATTATGGAGCAGAATGACTTGCATGTGGCCTTGACCTAAACAAACCTTTCTCTGCATTCATTATTATCATGGTGCAAAATTAGGTTTTTGCCACACTTGCCAACGGCGAATGAATTAAGAGAATTTACAGGCCATAAAAATCGTATTTAACATCTGTGGACAATGGAATTATTTAGATGTTTTAACTTTGCATGCTTATGACAAACAGCACAGCTCATTGCGTGACCCACAGCATCACATTCAGGATGAACCAGTCTCCATCTGTCTGCGATATTTCTGTTTTGGTGGCTTAATGCGAGAAATATTCCACATATGTCACCACATGGAGTCCTTCAGAAAATGAAATTAGGCATTCTAGATGAACTGATAACACCATTTCCTCTGAGATAAACGATGCAACAGATGTTTTCCTGAGTAGACGCTTTATGTCTTTGATTTGAAAAACGCACATCACTTACATCAGAGAGAGTCTGTCTATCATTCTTACAGTTTGGCATAAAGCATGTAATGTTGCAGTTCCTAAAAAAGTTACCAGCCAGCTGGCAAGTCATTCTGTTTTATTTACATACTCACCAAAGCCAAATTTTACTCATTTATACATTCTGCACTTTTAATTTTATCCCCTGATTATGACATCTCAAATGATTAATCAAATGAGAACAAGTACCAGCTACAAATTTTTCCTCATTTTTTTTTCAGGACTGAACAAAGCTGCACAGCTTTAAGAACTATAAACAACATAAATAATGCCATATTTTGATTAATAACAATATTCATATAGTCAAATCAAGGTTATAGGGAACACATTTATATACTCTAAAAAAAAATGCTGGCTTATTTTTTTAACCCAAATGCTGGGTTCAGCAAGTTGGGTCATTTTATTGGGTTATTTTTAATAATTTTAACCAGGTGCTGGGTAGTTTTTCTGTAACTCAGCTGCTGGGTCAATTTCACTGTCAATACACTCTAAAAAATGCTGGGTTAAATACAAACCAGTGAATGCTGGGTTTAGCTTGTTGGGTCCGTTTATTAGGTCATCTTTAATATTTTTTTTACCTAAGTGCTGGGTAGTTTTTCTATAACTCAGCTGCTGGGTCAGTTTTACTGTCAATACAAATGATGAACCCCCTCACATACCTACCCAGCGCTGGGTCAGTGTAACCCAATGTTGGCAAACTGTGCCAAACCGGTTAAAACTGGATACATTTGTCAACGGTCATTCTGTGTTCTGTTCTGAGAGAAAACTTGACAGACGCGAAACTGCCTGAATGAAATTAAGGTTTGCATTACATTGTATTCCTGTCAAATTATTACTGTATAAATAGGAAAACCATTTTAGTCTCTTTTTTGTTTACATGTACGTCGCTGCCAGTGTTGGGGAGTAACTAGTTACATGTAACGGCGTTACGTAATTTAATTACAAAATAAATGTAACTGTAATCAGTTACAGTTACAAGAAAAAATGTGTAATTTAATTACAGTTACTTATGAAAATGTTAACGATTACAAAGGGGGTTACATTTGAATATTTACACGTGTCCACATTCAGATTTAATTGATTTCTTTCCCAAATTGCACTGACTACTCTTGAGACATACAGCCGCGATGCGGAAAACACGGAGTGGTTTGTAGAATCCAGTCATAAAAACGGAACTCCTATTACGCGGAATGTCAAGGAATATGCCACATTTTGGACGAATAAATCAAAAGTAGGTCAGTACACTTGAATCAAAACGCGATATGGACTAGTGTCTGTGAATATTAAGC